AGAGAACCTTGGACATAGGGGATGGTGGTTGAAACTGAAGAAGGGAAAGGGTTGTTGAAACGCTTATGGTGCTTTTTGGTAATCTTAAGGATTGCCATGACAGAAAATTTAAAACTAAGAATTAAATACAATGGTTGGCTGAATGTAGAACCTTAAAATATGACTTTTTGAGTTGTTGAGATACCTTTGAAACATTGTACAGAGTTTGTTTCTTTGACGCATTTGTAAGAGGGTGGTGGTGAAGTATTTTGGCGTGTTTCGTACAAAACGGTCTTTGGTATGAATCTTAGCGGTTGAGTTTACTTGAATTACATAACAGGACACGATACTTCAGCAACCAAAATCTCAGTGGAGAAATCATGATTCATTTCCTTCTTTTCCATTTGGCTTTGGTGCTTTGGAATTGAATTCTCTCCGGAGGAAGGAACAAATGACAAGTTATATCCTCTTGTAAAATTTTCTAAATAAAGTATTAAATGGAAAATGAAAATGTAATAATAAAATTACATGCAATATTATTTTGTATATTGATCCGTTGTTAAATTATTACCTATAAATGATTTGTCAGTTCATCATAAAAGTTGGTGGCCTTTACTCTTCTGGGAACATTATTACATATGAGAGTAGTTTGCTTTCAAGATAGTTCTTATCCCAAATTCTTTTTCGATATATTTGATAACCTTTTCAAAATCAAGAAAAAGTTGGATGATAAGATCGGAGATATTTAAGTAGCATTTGATGTATAATTTTATAGAAATAATAAAGGCTAAAATGTATTTTTAATTTTTTTATATGTGATAGATAGATTTGATTTGTAAACTTCAAATACAGGTAATATTTGAGAATTAAATCTACACGTTTTTTTTTTTTTTTTTGAGATAGAAAAATATCGATTTAAAAATCTTAACTGCCGTTTACTAAAATTAAAAGAATTAAAGGCACATTTTTTTTAATACAGTTTTATCCTTTTATTTTGTTTTATCTTCAATTTTATCTTCTTATTTTCGAAAATCTATATTTTTAGTTGGTTTTCAATTTTTCATATCCTTTATTTTATTTATTTCAGCTCAAATGAATCCTAAATTTAATATATCCATTTAAAATATTATTATTGAAAATGACTTAAATAATTAAAATACAAAAATAAAAACAAAATTAAGGATATGAAAAAATTATAAAATATTAGAATAAAGAGATTAAATATCCTTATTTTAAAGTAGAAAAATCAAAATTATAGATTGAATAAAATGGATATATCAAAATTATATGTAAGTTTTTTTTTCTATACTAAAAATTCAACATTTTAGTGTCCAAGAACCGTGTTTTGAAAAAGAAAGTACAAATGTGTATCATCATCATTCAAATGATAATTGAATTTAACTTATCTTTTTATTTTTGTTTTTGGATATATTAAGCTCCACCCATATTAAATGTATTTATGCAACTCAATAATTGAAGGGAAAAAGAACAAGTTAAAATAGCGGGAATAATGCGTTAAGACATGAAATTGAATCTTCCCATAATTGTGGAACAATTCTGATTATGAATCTTCTTCCAAGGTTGTGGACTGTTCCCAATTATGAATCTTCCCTCAATGTTGGAGAATGTTCTTAATTCAGCATCTACTACTCAAAGTCACGTGATCATTTTATTTTTTATTTCTTTTACTTTTCTGTTTGAGGTTTGAGTAGGAACGTTTTGTTCGTTATTACTTCTTCTGGTTATTTCAAACTGAATCTGGTCTTGTTAAGAAGAAGATTCATGTTTGATTATTCAACTTCAAACTTGCACACCCTAACAAATATTACACCAATAATAAACTTGACGATTGAGGCCACTTCTTATCACAAATAGTTAGAGACAATTATTCATCCATGGAGCCTTTGGTTAGGAGAGAATTTTAGGAAAAAAATATTTTCTAAAATATATCGTTCCTAGTATATTATAGCATATTTAAAGAGAGTTCCTATTATATTAGAGCATATTTACTTTTTCTCTTAAAGAAAAAATCTCAAAAACCCTTTTCTAAAAAGTTTAGATCCTCAAAATACTTCTATGTTCCTAAAAATACTCAAATCTAAAAAACAGAATCTTTTATTAAATCTTTGGTGATGGAGAGTGGTATATAAATTTGAATTTTTAGTCTTTGTGAGATGGTTGAGTCTCTCAAATTAACATTAAAGGTAGAAAAAATGGTCAAAACTACACTTCCTACCTAGAGAGTGGTTAACATACCATTTTGAACTCAACTCCTCCTTATTTAAACAAGATAATCCATTTAGGACAAACTTCAGCCACATGACAATAATGTCTACTCTAGATTCATCTTATTTTCACAAGAAAGAGTATTGATTAAAACTCGTTAGAAGGTTTCTGATATATAAAATCCTTAAAAGAGACAAATATAGAACATATTTGTATCCGAGTAGATGATAAATAGTATAAACTATATACTTAAGATTTTTAGAGAAAAGAAATTGTATTTGGTTGAATTTGTCATCTTCATTACAAGTTCCCATATTTATAAAACATTCATAGAGGCAAAATTGAAAACTTTGCTAAACTAAAATAAAATTCAAACCCGAGAATATTATATAAAGTGGAATATGAAGTAAAAGATAAGATTTTTAGCCTCCACCTCTAATGTTCAACAACTTTAAAGATAAATACAAGTTTCTTGACTCAGACTTATAATAGTTAAAAAATTTAAAGATAAAATAAAGTTGATTTTATCTTATTTTATTGACACGTTTGCAATTGATGCAATGAACATATGTAAAAATAAGAAAATTTGTTATATGGTAACTTGTATGAGTGAGAACCATTAACTAAAGTCTTTCCTTATTATTTTTTTCAATTTGATCTTGTGAAGGTAGAGTAATTTATTTGTTGAGATTCACTTCGAGTCATGCTTCCATGCATTGGATGCCAAGAAGGATACATCTTTTGTGTATTATTATCTCTTCCATCATTCTTCACTATAATGATCAGTTAAGTCTTTAACCTTTTGAAATTCTTTCTTAGAAATATAAAGCTCTTTTGTTGATTTGAAAAACTTTATTTGTTGAGAATTATTATTTCCTGGTATTATTCTCTTTAAAGGATAAGAATTGGGAAGTCTTTTAAAAGAGTTAGCAATATTAAAATCAGGTGATTTATAATACTAATTGTTAATTTTATAAAAATAATAAGTAAGCTAAAGGTTGTAACTTTTATTTACTAGATAAGTGTTAAAAGTCTCTCAAATATAAGTTTCATTCTTGGACCATAATTAATATTAAAAATGTTGAAAATAAAAGCGATATATGATAAAAATAATGATTAGAAAGTAAAAAAATCTATCATATAGTTCTGGGAGGTGATAAACATGATACCAATAACTATATCATAATAAAGTGATATTCAACTATCAATATCTAATAAAATCTTTTGGTATCCCAATATTAACATTGACAACTAAAAAACATTCTTCCATAATATACATTTAACGTTACGAAACGTTTCAATGCGGATGACAACTAACTTAATAAAAATTTTGATAATACACATTTTTTAGAAAAATATTTTAATAATTTTTTTTATTTACGGCATTAGTCTATTTGATTTCAAATTACTATAGGTTTTTAAAGTTTAACAACTAGGAATACAACTTGCTGGAGGCAAGTGAGAGTCTTAGGCATTTATTACCGCTGAAAGTGTAGTGGGTCCCACGGTGTAAACTTTTCCTATACATTAATTTGAGAAAAAGATTGAAAATGCAAAATAATCTATTGCGGTGGTAAATTAATCGGTGTTTTGAAGTATTGTTTGTATACATAATAGATTAAACCATTATGAGTATTTTTAATTTTTATTATAATAAATATTAAAAAATATAATATAGTATTGTTATTTACATGTTTTCACTCTCTTTCCACTGATATGTCACTTTCCATTCTATTTTTATTTTTTTTAGTTTTACTCTACTTTTTTACACACCATCCAAACGAAGCTTTAATGCACTCTGACTATATACTTAACTAGGATATTGTTGTAATTTAGTGATATTTTCAAATACAAGAGTTTCATTCATATGGTCTAGTTATACACTTTTTATTGTTTATATATCAATTCGTTTTTAAGACTTTCAAAGCTACAGATCAGAGTGTTAACTAACGCATTAGTTTAAATTTCGAGAGTTTGTTGTAGTATAAATCTGTCAATTTTTCCCTCCACCTTACAAAGATGGTCTCACAAAACTTTCACAATGTGATTTTATAAATTACATTTAAGATTATTTTGAATTAAAATTTTGATTCAAAAGAGGCCTATCAGGAATCTTTCTTTTATATGTTGTCGTATGTTTGAATTTCTTCTATTTTATTAGCATTAACTTAATGATAGACTAGAGAAGTGTTAAACTTTTTAACCTGTGTTTATAGCATTGAATGGCCGTTTTACTGTTATAGATTAATTAACATTTTAACTATTGGGTTTTATATAGATGCCTATAGAAGTTTTTAAAACTTCTGGCAGAAGTGCGTGTTCTCATTTTTCTCTATTCCTAGGTTAACTTTCGAACTTATTAGTTTGCCTCACATCTATTAGTACCCTTTACTACTCTGCGCATGATTTACATCATGAAATTGGTTAGAATTCAAGAGGATTTCTTTTACCTTAAACAAGTAAAAATAGTTGAGCCAGGGCAATTCTGCTACTTCAATCAACGCAAACGAACCCGATTGCTCCTAAGCAAACCATGTTGCTAACGATCTATTTAACTTCCAAAACTCTTCAATAACACAGCACAACTGCTATAATCATGCATCTTCTTTTACAAGTTTAGTTTCAACCAGAATTCGGAAGATATATAAGACAAATAAAAAATTATGCAACAGCAAAGAACTCCAAGCATACGCACAAAAATTTCAAAATCAAAGACTCTTAACCTACTCTTTGACTAACAACAGTTGCATGCGTATGAGTAGAAACAACTCTTACACAGGTATCTATTGGCCTCCTCAATCAAGTAAATCGAAGACTGGATTTTTCCTAAATCCGTCAACTTGAATCAATAGGTTTCCCAAAGCTCTATTAGGCAATATGTCGTCAGCTCTTAACCTGTCCCTAATCCCGTAGGCTGGAACCTTCGCATTTATATAGGCGTTCATTAGAACTTGGTACATCTTTGGTTTAGATGGATAATCAGCTTGTTTCATTCTAAGGAAAATCTTTTCTGCGTTATGGATGTCACCCCTCTCGGCATACTGCTCCAAAATAGTAAGGTAGGTAGAAAATATTGGCTTCATCTGGCTCTGCTGGGCAGCCTTCTGAAGAACGGAGTCTGCCTTCTCCACTTCCCCGGCTCGGACATAAAGTTTCACTATTGCATCCCAGGTCAATGGGCCTATTCGGCACCCACTATCTCCCATTCGCTTTATAAGATCCTTACCCTTCATTAGCATCTTATTATTTGCATAAACCTTCAGTAGTACAGAGACTGTCTTGGAAGAAAGCTTCCATTTCTTTATCATTGCCTCAAAAACTTTCTCTGCTTCATCAACTTTATTCAACTTTCCCCAAGCTTCAATTGCCGCCAGACACTCGTCATACCTAGGATTTGTCTCACAGACATTCCAAATTCTTCCCACTTCATCCACCTTTCCTAGGTTTGCATAGAGAGGAAGCAAAATGTGGGATAGCCACCGATCCTGTTTTAAGTTTTCACCTTCCATCTGTTTCAGTAAGGTTTCAGCTTTACCTTTAAGTCCAGCCGTGATGTAATGTCTAGCCAAAACAGCCTGTGTTTTGATGTCTGGTTCAATGCCTTGAGCTTTCATTCTATCAACAATTTGATCCATGGCATCAATATCTCTTGACTGGCCCTTTGTGTCTATTAAGATTGTGTAAGTAAGAGAAGAAGGTTTGATATTCTCATTTTCCATCAACAACAAAACATCAGCTATTTTCTTCTTGTCATTCCTCTTGTACAGAAGTAGCAACTGATTGCAAGCAAATACTGTCACAGGAATACCCAAATCCTTCATTTTATTGAAAACTTCCTCTGCTTTCTTCACACTGTTCTGACTGACACAGTTAGCCAATAAAGTCCCGTACATTATGTCTCTGCTACAAGATTCTGGAATACTCTCAATGTAAAACTCTGCCTTATGTAAGCCTCGAGTTTTGGCAATTAAATCAAGTCGACTTGCATAATCTCTTTGAATAAACTCAAACTGATTTTTTGATTCAAGCCACTCTGAGAGCTACATAACAAATCATAAAAGAAATTGAAAATTTGCATTACCAAACATTGTCTTGTAAACTAGAAAAATCAAAATAGCAAATATATGGAATGTTTTAAATTGCAGTTGCAGATACCTTCAAAACCATAATAGTGCAGCTACGATTGTACTTTTAGGGTACAATTTAAAACCATGTTAAGTTGATAATTATCAATCATTTTAAAACAGCATATATAGAATACATTTCTAGAAAAATATTCAATGAGACAATAATTATATCAAATGAACTGATGAAAATATGACCTAAAGAATATGTTTGCGTTCTCAACAGAAGAACAATCCCCCATCATTATAATAAACATCTGCAACTAATCAATATAAAAGACATGAATCTTCCTACCCCACCACGTGCAATCCAGAATTCTAAGAAATAGTGTACAAATAATAAAATTGAGCAAAAATGGTTCAAGTAAAACTAGGAATGGTTCATGTTCCATCGCATCAACAGGAAGGGTATTCCAATTCAATGACTAATTCTGTGGGAGAAAAATAAAAAGGAACAGTAGGTGAAATAAAAAAGAGAACCAACAAGATACTTCATGAGGGAGGCAGACACAAAATCAAGTTGAAAGAGAACTAGGTGACAAGCCAATGGCCAGACAAGGGCACTAGTAATAGTGGCAGTGGCATAGAAGGGAGAAGAGTTTATTGTAGACATCTCACACAGAGAAAACAAGGGACAAAACCCTAACCAGGGAGAAACACGAGACCTAGCCTCCAAAGATTTAAAAACAGAGAAATAAGGGTACCATTGGAAGCAGAAGGTACTGACCAGACGATCAGTGGTGATCAGACGTGGTTCTGACCACCAGAAGGTGGCACATGCTGCCCACGTGCAGAAAACTGACTTCGTTTCGATTGGTGTGTAACAGCACATGAAGCAACGACTGATGTTGCGCTTGGCAGGGATGGCTTGCGCCCCTCGAGGCACACCAAACCTTGGTCTCACCAGCCAAGACGGCAATGGCGAACAGTGTCCTTGACTGGTTGGAGATGACAAAAAACAAAGGAAACTAGAACAAGATCAACATGCTCTGATACCAACTTGAGAAAAATGTTTTAGGTTCAAAGACAATGTCAAAAGACACTAATACTGTTATATTTATAGATGAGAGAGAATACAAAAAGAGGTTTGGCCTCAACCCAAACCTTAACCCTAATCCTAAGAACATATATAGGAAAAAGATTAAAAATAAAAGCATATCTCAACAATGTGAAAACCCATTAAAAAGGCCATGAGCTTTATGCCAAAGAAAGAGTTTTGCTCCAACCAAATACATCATATTGTAGCAAAGATTGTACATTGCACAAAAATTTTTGTAATGAAAGAGGATATTGAAAAATAGACTTTTGATAATACTATCTTGCCTATTTTGCTTTATTATACATTGCAATGATTTGCTCATATCATAAAACTTGGAGCACGAACCGTTGCTCATATTCTAATCATAATCCCAACTAATTAGGAAACAAATCATGAGATGAGGAAATATGGTAACTTATCCTTAAGAGATGTAAGGAAACATGGAACAAACCCTGAAGAAAAGTTTAAGAAATACTAAAACATATGATCAAGGTATTTTGGATATTTTCATATATTCTAATACTTTACCTCACGCTAAAGCTCACACTATGCTTTAAGTTTTCCTATAGAAAAAAGCCAAACAGTAATACCGCACAAATTGAGATGGTAAAATGACAGGACCAAGATGATTCTCTAGTATGCCACAGGGTCTGTTGGTCCCCCAGGTAAAGTCATATGCCCAGCTGCCATACCTCAGGGAAAGTTGCGAGGCCAGGCCAGGATGTTTCTGTGATCTCACAGAGCACATTGCAAACCATAAGAGGACAAGTTTTAGGAGAGGGGTTCATGGGTCAAAAAGAGATAAAAAAACTCCAAACAGCTATTGGACTGTAGAAAGATGAGGCATGAAATGCAAAACTAATGTAGTGTAGGCAGATTATGGGTGAGGATGTGGAGGACAATTTGGAACAGTATACAGCTTCTAAAAAAGAGGTTCCACATGTCATGCAGGGTGGAGATGCAATAGAAAAGCTTATCAAAGAATGTGCATGAAAGAGTGTGCGTGTTTCCTTTCAACTCAAGATCATAAGGGCTTAAACAGCCTTGATGGGGTGACTTAAAGATGTGGTCAAAATGGCATCACAATAGGGGAGTGTCAGCAAGATGAAAGGTGAGGAGATTGCCAAAATAAAGATACTCTAGTAACTGCTGGAAGGTGTGCTCAACAGTGACAAAAATGTTTGAAACACACCAAGAAAATGTAACTTGGAGATCATAAATCAAAGATAAACATAGGCGGTATGACACACAAGAGATATCATGAATATGAATAGTGGCTGAAACAGCAGACAGTGACAAAACTAATTGCAACAAACTAAGAGTTAGTCAGGTTTAGCTTGAGGATGGATGGGATTCCGTTAGGACTTAAATAGTATGATACAACAATTATGTTTGATGATTCTGTTAAGAATATAGGAGACATATCATATAATAATTCGGCCAGGATTGTGCCACGTACTAGATAAAAATGTACTTAACCTTGATTGTTAGTCTAAATAGGTATAAGGATTAGTGTTTTATATCATAATATTACTACTACTCATAGCTTCAGATGTTAAATATATTATATCTTTATCTTTAAGAAAGCTAATACTTTTAAATACTCAACCAAACAAGCATTGCATGAATTGAACAACAGCAATACTTTAGAGTTTCAAGGAAATGATAATATCAAAAAGAACAATATTTAGAAAAAAATTGGGACCTAATTGATTTGAGAAAATGTTATTTATTTTAATTTTCTATTTCCACTGGTAGCTAGATAAAGGTTTTTTTGTGTTTCTTGTTTTCAAAGGCTTGAAAACAAGGAAAATCATTTTTTTTTTTACTGTGATAAAATCTCATATCAATAAGAGATATAATAACATTTTAATAAGGTACATACCTCAACTTACAAACGGTTTTGTAAGGTTGAGTAAGACACCTCTCCATTTCTTATATGGTATCAAAGTCATCTTTAACAATATTGGGACTATTGAAATCCTCTCAATGTGAAGGGATATGATGACAATTCCCCTCGATAGAAGAGGTATGTTGAAATCTCAACTAGAGATATGATAGTATTATATTACATAATGTGGCGCAAACCAGTTTTGTAAGATTCAGATAATCACCTCTCTGTTTCTAATATATTGTTCTCAAAACAAATACTTGAAAACATAAAATATGAAATTTTTATATTGATTGAAGGTGAAAACAAGAACCCATAACAGAAATTGTTTTCTGCAAGTAAACAGGTCATCCATGATCCGCAAATACAAGTAACAACTAATGGCAGTTTAAGTTAGTTAATTAATTCAGAAATTAAGATGCATAATGTGCAAACAATTCAAACTTGACCCAATTACCTTCAAAGCCTTCACAAACATCTTTCGCCTTCGAAGACAAACCATGGCTTGTGAGACCTCCTCTCTTTTTAGTTCATTCCCTTCTTCTAACCACTTCTCCAGAGCCAGATGAATAGACACAACCGGCACATTCACGATCTCATTGAATAGTTTCGATTCAACCCTTCCACGACCTTTCTGCTGGACCGCCTCATCAACCTCGTTGTGTGGCTCCTCGACATTCTTCTTGTCACCATCGTCATCCGATAGGTCAGCATCAGAAGCTAACAGATTGTCACTTTCATTTCCATCGCCAGCAGGTGTCTCCAGCTCGGAAAACCCATCCTCCAAATCATCATCCTCTTTGGTGCTACTCGAAGAAAGTTCGCGTCTCCCCACAGTAAAATTCAGGAATGCACTTTGCCCCGAATGGAAACCCGTATTCTGCAACAGCAATCCACCATAAGTTATTCCATGAGACTCAGTGATACCACTTTCTTCTTCCACACAACTAGTTCGCGCCAATTTGACACAAGAAGTTCTCACTTTAAACCCTCGGGTCCTATGCAAAACAATGCACAAAAAATAACCATTACCAACACTTACTGATTTTGAAGTATGAACTAATGAGAAAACTATGCCACAGGGAAAATAATTTGAAGAACGTATAAAATATCAACGCAAAAAGAGGGAAAAAGAGGGGTAAATGGGTTTGCGCTAGAAATGCAGCAGTTAGCGAAAGAGTAATGAATGGAGAAAGAAGGTTTGAGAAGGAGGAGGGTTACCTGAGAGGGATGGAAGCTCGACGAAGAGCCCACATGGTTGGTTACGAAGGCGAAGAAACAGTGAAGCGGTGATGGAAGCGCTAAAACCCTAATCTAAAACCTTCCAATGCAATCGAGCAGCTTATGTAAAATGTATAACCATATACATAATAAATATGCCCAAGACATTCATGTTAGAAATTAAATAACTGTCAAATTATTGTTATTTTTTGGTAATACTGATTACATATTTAAATTTATTGTATTTATTTTAACTATTGTTAGATACTATTTCTTTTTCTTATGTAACTCTTCTCCCTTTTAAAAATTAATATATGATAAAAAAATTATTACAAAATATATTAAATTAAATTTTAAAAATTAAAAAATAAAACTTCAAAAAAAAAATGCAATCAGACAAATATGATAAAGCCTATGTTTCGCGCTGTTTTAAGTTTAAGTTTATTTACTAGTTTATACTTTGAATGATTAAATAACTAAGTTTATTTACTTTTTCTTTCATTTCTATTGATAATTATAATATTAAATCATTCAAACATTTAGAAATGAATACCCAATTTGAACCCACCCCCTCAGTATTTATTCTACTGCATGCTCCAAATGAAGTATATGATCAAACTGAATTAACTAGTGCTTACAATTTAAATTCAAACCAGTGAATACGTTGAATCAATTCCAATTAAACTAGGCACAATGTTTTCGAAGAGAAGGATTGAGTCAATAGATATTTTTTCCATTAATAATGTCTTTCATATATATATTTTTTAAATTAAAATAACTTTAGTTTTAAAAGAATTATTATATTAACAAATAATTGGAAAAGAGAATACAAATTACTATTAACTAATTTAAAAAAATTATAATTTTAAGATAAATATATGATTATCAACAAAATTAATATTTTTTAATCAACATTGTTTAGAAAGTAAAATATCATCAAAATGAATAAAGAAAAAAATTATCATAACATTATTCGGTATTTGAACCGTTCAAATTAAGTGAGAGAAACATGCTAACAAGTTAAAAATATCAATCAAACTCATCAATTTATTAATAAAAGGTTTAATGAGATAACAATATTAAAATAAATATGTCATTTATAATATCAAAACCCTCATTATATTTCAAAAAGTAAAGGAGGTTTTCCTTAAATGTTAAAACCATATGGATCTTTAAATTTAAATGATCCAATTGAAGTTTAATTTTTTTTATCTGCATATGTTTTGGAAGAAGTTTGAGTTATCTCAACCACTCACTAGTGCAAAAAGGGGTTTTTACGTCAGGTATATTTAGGGCTTTTTACGTCATATTTAAGATTGACGTTAAAACGGGAGACATAAATTTACGTCGGACCCTTTAGCCCGACGTAAATTTACGTAAGTTATCAAGACCCGACGTAATTTTGCGTTGCATATACCATTAAACAGACGTAAAAACTTTTAGAAATTAAAAAAAAATAGCAAATTTAGGTCGCATATGGTATATGCGACGTAAATTTACGTCACATATACCAATATGCGACCTAAATTTACGTCGCATATACCAATATGCGACGTAAATTTGCTGTTTTTTTTTTAAATTGGGTTGATTCTATTTTACAACTAAAACCTGCAAATAACCAGACAGTCCAGAGATTCAATTTTCTTTAGCTAGTAAATTAAAAATATAATATTATATAATTCAAACTACATAATAAAACAATATAATACAAACATACAAACTAAAAAATCTATTACAAACTAAAAGTTAATACAAACTAAGCTACCTAAACTACATATTACACACAATATAATATGAACAAGAGCTTAAAAAATTATGTACTAGAATTGTTGAACAAAAAATTTTGCTCATTGTTATCTAATTTGTGTAATATAATGGAGATGGATCTTGAAATACCTGAAACATTAATTTGACTCTTGTAAATGTGCAACATGAATAAAGTTAAATAAACCTAACTAATGTTAAAAGCAATTACCTCCGTCCAAGAATCAATTATACCCGCACAAACTATGACTCTCATCCAATACATAACATAGTAACCACATTCAAACGAGTCTGTTTGCTTATTACACTCGAAATGATGAAAAAAACATAATGTTATTTTCAAAATTTAAATACAAACAATAATTATGGTATTCACTTATATAAATAAGTTTCTAACCTTAGGATAAATGAACTGTAAAGTCTTTGTTCTAGGTTTTCCACTTAGAACATTAGTTCCAGACACGATTCTAAGTGAAAAAAAGTCATATATTATTCAATATGTATTTACAATTTAAAAACATAATTAATGAATAAAAGATAAAGTTACCCTTGTAATAAGCTTTTCATTTCTTGACTCGGTTTCCGATGCAATGAACAAAACCACATGACAGTGTAATCCTGGGGTATGATTACAATTAACTGCCACTGATTGTGGATGTAATTCAGAACGTATACCCATGTCTGCCAAATCTTGTCTTGCTTTTATTCCATCTTTTGTCTTTCCTTTTATGTTAAGCAATGTCCCAATTATACTATCACAAACATTTTTTTTCAACATGCATCACATCGATACAGTGTCTAACTTCCAACTTACACCAATAAGGAAGATTGAAGAATATTAGACTGTTTCTTCCAAATGTTTTTCTCATTGGATTTCTTTTGGGTCTTTCCAAACACAATATTAATATTTTTCACTTGCTCATATACTTGTTCACCATTGCATGGCACTGATGCAACCACATTCTCCTGACATCCATTAAATGCTTTTTTCATTTTACGATATGGATGATTAGCAACTAGAAACTTTCTATGCCTATTGTACGCAGTTTTTTGTCCATGTTTCAATTGGATATAACTTGTGTCTTCTTGACATAAAGGACATGCTAAATGACCTTTCACACTATAACCGCTCAAATTACCATATGCTGGAAAATCATTTATAGTACAAAATAACATTGCACGCAACCTGAAATTCACTTCGTGATATGAATCAAATACATCCACTCCTGTTTCCCACAACATCTTCAAATCATCAATTAAAGGACTAAGATATACATCTATGTCATTTCCTGGTTGTCGAGGTCCTGAAATCATCATAGATAACATCATATATTTTCTCTTCATGCATAACCAAGGAGACAAATTGTAAATGATCAACAAAATTGGCCATGAACTATGTTTACTACTTAAATTTTCATAAGGATTCATCCCATCTGTAGCTAATCCAATTCTCAAGTTTCTTGGCTCTGCACCAAATTCTGGAAAGGTTTCATCAATCCTTTTCCATTGTGGAGAACCAGCTGGATGTCGAAGAAGATTGTCACATTTTCTACCATTTGCATGCCATGTCAAGTTTCTTGCATCTTCTTTTATGGCAAATAATCTTTTAAACCTAGGTATAATTGGCAAATACCATAACACCTTAGCAGGGGGACCATCTAGTTCTTCCTCACCACTACTTTCCTCAACTTTGTTTTTGAACCTCAACAAACCACATGTCGGACACATCTTTAATTTAACAAAATTGTTTCTGTACAATATACAATCATTAGGATATGCATGTATCTTCTTGTACTCTAAACCCATTGGACATAATATTTTCTTTGCCTCATAGTTACGAATAGGTAATGTATTATCTTCAGGAAGCATCTCCTTCAACAACTCCAATAATTCGGTGAAACTTTTATCAGTCCATCCATTTCTTGCTTTTAAAGTAAACAATTTTAAAGTTGCTGATAATCTTGTAAAACTACATCATATGTATAATTGTTGCGCAAAATCAGATTTCAAAGAATCATATAGATGTGCTTTCATAAAATTTTCTTCACCAATATCACGTATCATATCCTCAAGATTATCATTCATCCCTTCATCAAAATTGTCTGTAGTTGACACAGTTGGGATGTCTAATATTTCTCCATGCCATGTCCATATTGTATAACTCTTAATAATACCATAATCAAACAAGTGATCACGTATATCCTCAAGTTTATGACGAATTTGATTCAAACAACGAACACATGGACAATAATATGTCCCTTTCATAGCTTTTCCATTTTCACTAGCAAAATTAAAAAATTCCTAAACTCCCTTTTCGTACTCTTCACTAATACGACGTGCATTCATCCAACTTCGATTCATATTATGTTATAAAGTTTCGTCACTCCTAGAGATTTAAAAATTATATGTAAAAAGAAATTAATATACAAACAACAAAGCACGTTCCAACAATAATGGAGTGTGTAAACTGAATGCACTCAAACAAATAAACAAATAATTACATTCCAATAACAATCCAGTGGAGACATTCATACTATAACGTGATTGAGATCCCCAAAAACAATCACGAATTCAATTTAAATATATAGCAATGGCATAGAACACTAACCTCGAGTGTAGACGAAAAATGATTTCAAACTCGAATCCAATCGGGAAGAAATATCAAGTTCGTAAAATGACACACAATGTTGATGTTTTCCAGTGTCAAACTGATTGAAAATGGTGTGCAGAGGTAGTTGTTGTCATCGTTCTCGTCGTCGTTCTCAAAAATCCTAGTTGCACGAGAGGAGGGAGTGGGTCTGGGGGAAATAAAAGGGACATTTTACGTCGCGCATCCCAGCACGCGACGTAAAAAACCCTCTTTTACGTCGCGCCACCCAGGTGCGACGTAAAAGAAGCTTTTTACGTCGCGTGCTGGGGTGCACGACGTAAAAGTTATGTCTCTTAATTACAAAATTGCCACCGCGTTTTATTTACATCGTATATTTTTACATGTGACGACAATTGGGTGACGTAGAAGCCATTTTTTGCACTAGTGACTTATTATAGGTAAGGGTTGGAAAAGGCCTACAAGTAATGTATTAGAGTTTTAGCCTCCGGACAAATAAAACAACTATTGACATATATTGCAATGTTTTTATGCATACCTTTTAGTGAAATTGAGTGACAATATGTATCATTGTACACCAATATGTCCTATCACAAAAGGACCTCATTTTATCTTCATCTACGATGGTAGTTTTAAGATATTGAATATGCTCACATTGTGGTT